CCGTCCATTGCCTGCGGTCCCAATGGGAAAGGCCAGTGTGCCGTGGACCAGAACCTCAGATGCCAACAAACCACCCGGGATTTCAAACTCCGAAACCCCCTGAAGTAAAAACTCGAAGTCGTCCTTAAAGTCCTTACCAATTCTGTATTTCAAAGAAGAAAGAGGAGGGGAATTCTTAATACTTAAACAATTCAAGAAGAGATTTTGTTTCAGTATGATAGAGTCTACATACAAACACAGTAAGTACAACAACATGCCAATATATGAGAAATAAACAAAATAAATATTTTTTGAGGTGGTGACAAACAATAAAAGTGATTAGCCAGGAACAGTGGAGTTATATGGAATGTTTTTTAAATGAACAGAAATGTAAAAAGGTTTTTTACATTTCTGCAAGTTGCTGTTTCTGTCTGATGCACCTATCGTACAATCAGGTGTGCAGAGTTGTTGCTCTTATTTAGGATGAATTATAACGTAATTTACGATATAATTTCATACACTACTTAATACATAAAAATATTACATTAAAATAACTGAAGCAAGTGGCCTGATGGATAAAGTGAAAAGTTCAATATTAATAATGTTAGAGGGCCAAATGTGTTGTGAAGTTTCTGATCAAAGTTGTCACGTAAAGTAGAACCTGTCTAAATGTGCAATAGAAGAGAAGTACAGTACACACTCACGATATGGACATCCAGGAGGATGGGATTTGAGGGTAGACAGGCAGGCACTCTACCATACCCTGTTTCTTGGAGATGTAGACACCTGCCACACCAGAAACCTTATTCCCATCAAACTGAAGCAGCGTGTTCTCCATAGGGTGATCTGCAGCATAGCTCCAGGCCTGCCCTCCTAGCAGCACTCCTCCTCCAGCTTTCAGAAACGCCACCAGCTCCTTCGGGTCCGCACCCACACTGTAGGCATCTGTCACATATACACCAACCCCTGGATTCTCACTAAAGGCCCCCACAACTGTTGCTTGAAAACTGGATTTACTGAGATTATTAGCCACTGCAGAGACATTTTTATGGACCCCCACAGACAGGTTTTCAGATCCATCTCCTCTCAGCCAGGTCAGAGCATTCTCTACCAGAGCAGGAAAGGCAGTTAAATAGCATTCGTGGCCAAAGACCACAATCCTTCCACGGCCGTACAGAGAGGCAGCCATCAGGATCTGACCCTGGCTGTTCATCACTAAAGGAAAGGCATCGTCTCCAGTCAGCACCAGGGCACTAGGAACACTGGGGCCAGAGAAGTCCAGCTCTGCCAAACCTCTCATCAGGGACACGTAGTCCCCTTCACGGTGGTGTTGGATGGGCTGGCTGGACATGGTGAGAATGACCAGTGCTCTGAAGGCAGAAAAAAGTGTCGAGTCAGATGTAAGTTGCGTTAGTAGCAATTTACATTAAAAAGGTGCACCTAAGATGTATGTCATGCCAGTCACACTGTCCTGTGGGAAAGGAAAGAGTATAACAGTGCGACAGTAAAAGTACTACAGATGGCTAATGTGTTACACATTTGTGTGAAGAGAAACAAGATGTTAATTCAAAACTAGATCTGGGACAAAAAGTTAATCAGACACCCAGAACACCTTTGGGATGAATTAGAGCGGAGACTGCGATCCAGGCCTTCTCATCCAACATCAGTGTCTGACCTCACAAATGTGCTTCTGGAAGAATGGTGAAAAATTCCCATTAACACACTCCTAAACCTTGTGGACAGCCTTCCCAGAAGAGCTGAAGCCGTTGTAGCTGCAGAGGGTACGCCAACATCATATTAAACCCTATGGATTAAGAATCGGTTGTTACTCAAGTTCAGTGGCATGTGAAGGCAGACGAGCAAATACTTTCGGCAATACAGTGTATTTAGGGTGTTTTTTACTCACCTTTTGTCTCTCCCATGACTTTATTCCTCTCTGCTACACGGTCCATTACAATCACATGAAAATGGAATATTATGCAAATTAGGCGATTGTGTCATTTAGCGACTTCTACACCAGCCAATAGCTACTTTCCTTACTGAGGAGTTGGCAACACTGGCCCAAGGTCCATAGGTCACCCATGCCTAGGGGGTCGTCCTTCTGCTATAAACACAGGAAAAACCCGAGTAAGCAGAGTTTCTTCTTTTGTCTCTCCTCTATCCACTCACCCCAACCGGTCGAGGCAGAAGGCCGCCCACCAAGAGCCGGGGTCTGTCGGAGGTTTCTTCCGTTAAAGGGAGTTTTTCCTCCCCACTGTCGCCAAGTGCTTGCTCAAGTGGGATTTGCTGGGTTTTCCCTATGTAATAATATTGATAACAGTAAGGTCTAGACCTTACTTTGTAAAGTGTCCTGAAATGACTTTTGTTGTGATTTGGCACTATACAAATAAAATTTGATTTGATTTGATTTGAAGACAAAGAATATAGATGAGAGGGAGAACAGGATTGAGTATTTCGTTTAAATAACAAGAAGAGGAGACATTTCATTGAACAGAAGTTGTTTCTGATGACCAAGATTATCTGCGCTTGGAAACCTGCTAAGAAACCTGCTTATCCTGTCAGCTTAACTCAATAGGCCCTATTTATAGCTAAATTATTATGGCTGTAGTTTCACTGAGGTCTTGGAGAATCGATGTTACCATCTTGCTTGAAAGGTTTCAGTTGGGTTACAAGAGTTTGCGTTTGTAATCAATTTATGCAAGTCTGACAGAAAACAATATATAATGTACACAAAAAAGTGAAAAAAATATGACGTTTAGGTTATAGCAAAATAAAACGTCAGTGAAAATACAAGAAATATTAAGGCCTACGTTTGTTCGCTACAAAGCATTTAATATGGTGGCAGAGATTTTTTCATTTTGCCCTGTTCCCTTATTATCTGACATATTACGTATCTTCCTTCTTGTCAAATAGCCAGTGTACATAAACGACACCCGCTTTTCCGCGCAATGTTATAAATTTACCGGAAATAACTTTGCACTATCAAAAACTATATTGTGACGATCCACGTCATGGATCGTCACAATATCAATATCAATTAAAAAAAACCTACTTCACCAAGCGGCGGTCCGTGAGATCCGTCCAGTCACCAAGGCAAGCGTTATGAGACGTGATCTAACTATGTAAGCAAGCACCATTCAATCTCGACATGACACCTCCCCCGCCCAGGTGCGTTTACCTGTACATCTTAAACTGTACCTCACCTTACTCACCTTCTGGGGGCGCTATGGGGTTCATGGATGTATTATGAGAGCTGAATAAACCACTGTAAGATGGCGTCCATTCTTTTTACTGAAAGCTTTCAATCACTAGTTCATATCATTAGACATAATAGCCAATATATTCTATCTATCTATCTATCTATCACCTTATCCCGACGAACGTCGCGGCTGGAGCCAATCATCTATTTATAAATTCAACGAAAAAAATAAATTCAATGAATAAAGATGAAACATAGAACTGAAGGATAAAATAACTGCTCTAACCACAGATGAAATTATTGATATGGAATTTGTTTGTCCTTTGCTGGAATAAAATCTATTTTAATGAATGTTTTAAAACATATAATAATTAATACAGTATGCAGAATCTGCCTCAAAGACTGACTCTTTTATAAAGACAGAAAGCAGCACATTTAAAAGGACACGTTATGGAAGAGTTAAACATTAGGAACACAATCCCAGGAGGTCAAGCTGTGACAAAGTTTAATCTGGATGAAGCTCATCTGTATCTGTGATTTCCTGGTCAGTCCAATCACTTGAGTGGCCTATAGGAGGTACCACTACCAGAAGCCCCCTTACAGATTTAATCTGATCATGTAACACTGAAGAGAATTTGTTGATGTCATTTGTTAATATTTTTTCACATGCAGATGAAATCAGGGTAGACAGGTTTGTAACTGAAAATCAGTTATTTATATATCATTACCATCCAGCCAAGCAAAATGGGCCTTTCTTACAGGATCAGAGACAATGGATTCAAAGTGCTTTGATGACCTTAAATGTCTCCCAACTCGAACCACTCTCAATTCTAAAAAGCACGTTGAATGGCCTGTGTTTTAAATTTACTACATACTGTTGACCTGCCTTGGCATTCAGTCAGATATCAACCCAGGACTCAAAAAGCAAAACTCTAATTTAGTTGAGGGCTACGTTGCTAATGTCTGTTGAATGAAACAGGGAACTCCTAAAATGTAAATTTGTACAGTGAATACTGTGGAAAGAGGGCATAATGCTTCCTCTGGTTTGAAAAGACTGTGCCTAAACTCCAGAGGTTGATAGTAACTGAGTACATTTACTCAAGTAGTGTACTTAAATACAGATGTATTCACTCTTTACTTGAATGAATCCACCTTCTGCTACAGCAAATACAAGTTATCCAGATTTGGACAATAAATTCGAGTAAGCTTTTCGCTGATGGCAGCAAATCCAGCTAATAAACTGCTGTACCCTACCAGTTGCATTTTGCTTGTTTGGCTAATTCCCCCTCCAAATAATCATGCAATAATTTCAGAAAGACATTTAGATGGAGTGAGAAATACCCAACTATCACTGGGCACACTGCTGTATAACCCTAACAAGCTTATTTTTCACTGTAAATCCAGGTCATGGCATTTAAAGCTTGACTGACTGCTAACGCTCAGTATAGTATTAAGATGGAGTTTACTAATTCATATAAAATATATGCACATATCAAAAGAATTTGTCATTACAACACAGAAAAACAGCCATTTCATTTTCATAGGAATGACTTTTACTAGTGCTGTGAAATTAGATAACCAATGTGTACAGCAGAGTTTACAGTGCTAGCACTAAGTACTAGGAACATAGATGTGAGAAGCAGAGATCAAGTGGCTGCATGTCAAGTTAGTTTCTTTATAAAGCATTTTCAAATAAACAAATGCTCCATCAGTTTTCTAACTTATTTTCAAAAACAAGTCTAATCCACTTCACAAAAACTGTTTAAAGACAACACTTTTTGTTACGCATTGTTGTATGGCCATTCTCCATCCAGCATTTTTGTTTTCTGGTACAGACTGAACTCATCTCTCTGCACTTTTAGTCAGCAGCAGTCTGAAGTTCAACCATATTTGACCATGGGGTGGTCGCTCCAGGGAGGCAGGTTGGAAAGTTTCTCCTCAGTGGCTGTTTCGATGGGCCAGCCCCAGGCCTTAAAGAATCCACACAGGTTCAGCCCCACAGTGTTGGAGAAAGTCTCAGCGTACAGGTTCATCTTTCCCTTGTTGTCACCAGGAAAGTTGCTCATCTGATGGTAGGCTCCAAACACCTTCTTAAAGGCACCCCAGCCAAACTTCTCCTGGAGCTATATGGAAGGAGACACGGGTACAGGGGAATGTACAAACAGCATGGTTGTCTGGGCATTTTCCATCCAGCATTTTTATTTTCTAGTGTATAATGAGGGTTTAGGGTTTTATGGGTAGAGCAAAATATTATTATTGGGTGTGATTCTGTTTAAAATGTGACTCCAGTGTCACCCAATCATAGTTTCTACACAGGGTTCATATAGACAGTAATACTCTCTTACCTGCACATAAGTCTCCAGTGCTACCCACATGTCCCAGCCACTGAGATCTCTGCCTGCCTTAACATAATTTTCTGTGCGTTTGTTTCGCTCTGATAAAGCCATAGCTGGGTGAGCCTGCATTGAACAAGACGAAACAACATGACTATGAAACAATATAATCCCAAAATACTTGTTCAACATAGGATAAAAAAAGAGTTGTTGTCTTTCGTGACATTTATTAATATAAAATGTCACAATATAGCTTACGACTTGTTTTTTTTTCTAGCCATTGGTCTCAAAAACTAAACTGATATACTCCACCTGTGCCCTGTTGATTCCCAGCACCTCGTCATGCACATACAGTGACCACAGGTTGCATGTACACTCTGAGGTGTGTGGGGGGAACTCCCAGCAGCTTCTCTGTTGGTTGTGTCCCAGTTCATGAATGGGACCCCAAAGGCCTCGACTCTTAGCATGGACAACGCTGACCAGTTCAGCTGCTGTGGACTTGTATGCCATGACAGGATAACCACAATGCATCCAACCTGAGCAGAGGAAAATCAGGAAAGCAAAGTTTTATATCAATGACTCTTTCAGGTTTCATAGCTAGGAAAGAGAAACTTTGTAGGACTTCACATTGTTGTGCATCTTCACACAATCACAGGGAAGTGCATAATGCATGACCCATATTAGTGTTAGATGTTGTAAAAAAAATTTAAGGAGTTTTATAAGTGTTGCAATAAGGTTTATCTGAATATCAGCAAATTTTTGGAATCTCAACATATGCCTGCACTACTTAAGCACCTGTGTTACAGAATTTCTTGCTAATTTCCAAATTTAACTTGCTACTTTAGGTCAGCCAGCCAAAAGGTAGCTAAACTAGTAGCTTAGTTGAGAGAAATGCCTTCTTCTTCTTCCTCTCCTTCTTTCTTTTGCTCAGAGTGTCGCATGTTCCTCTCTGCTCTGTTGAAGGCGGAGCTTGACCCCGCAACTGAACCCAAGTCAACACAATTACTCCCTACTGTCAGGAAGAGATGGAAATGGAGGCCAACCTGTGCCTGCCCAGTGATGCATAATAAAGCGGGTTGCACCGCATTGATGGTAAAACACCAGAATTTGCCAATTGCTGTGAATGTGAGTGTAAATGGTTGTCTGTATGTGTGTTAGCTCTGTGATAGACCTGTCCATGGTGTATGCTGCCTCTCACTCTGTACCGGTTGGGACAGACTTCATCTCCTTGGGACTCTCAATGGGATAACAAATAAGAAACAGGCATTTAGACTATAAAAACCAAAAACACTTACCATGTGAAATCTGCACATCAGTTACAAAACGTTCTTTGCGAGGAAATTTGGGTGGTATTGCAGCCAAGTCAGCAATGCCCCTCATGATGGCATCCCACACCACCGCTAACTCATCAGGGCGCTCTAGGTTCCGAACAACATCTGATGGTACAGTAAGGATGATGTTTTCAAACTCCAACTCTGCCCAGGGCGAAGGAGCTGTGCGCAACAAGGACCACGCGCCAAGTTTTGTCTCACCTGAAGAGAACAAAGGAATGGGTGTATTCAAAACTAACCATTACTTTTAATTATGTAAAACGCCCCAAGCCAAGAAGAGTCCAAACCTGTTTGGGTTTCATGAAGAGCAAGTCCCAGAGAACAAATGAAACTTGAGCATTACATTTTAAACAAGATGCTCCAACTATATGTTGCTCTCTATTCCTGAACACCCATGTTTACACCAGAAACCATCAGATGCCTTCCATTAACCCCATGAAGACAGAGATACACACGTCAGCAAACGCACACCACAGATCCAACCATCACAGACTCACCAGATTTATAATATGGTGCAGGTACAGCTATCTGCACTATGACCTCTAGCCCCTGTACTTGTGTATTGGGTGGAGCCACCACGTAGATGAGTCCCCCCCACAGGTTCCACACCTGCATCATTGTTTTTGTTATGGGAATCTGTTCATGAACACACGGTGCTCTCTTCAGCTCTGCATGGCCCAGATAGTCTGTTTGACAGCCTATCTGGATCTGAGAAAGACATGGAATGTGTGTTACTGATTTGTGAGCATAGTTTGTACTGTAAATAAAAAGATGCATGGCATAAAAGCTGGGGAGGTGGATATGGGTAATAACTACCTAAGAGGACTGGATGACTTGTACAATCTGACACAAAAGTTGTTTTCTTCTCTGAATTTCAGAATTTTTGGATCACTTGCACTAACAGCACTGCTGCTGATGTATAGTATGGGTTGGGACAAACATGTCAAGGGTCACTGGTCTACCATTGTGCCACTGGGGGCACAACAATTACACAAGTACAATACACAACAGTACCTTCCATTCCTTGTCGACAATCGCTGCTGGTATGACCAAGTAGGTCTTCATACCAGGAGAGAGATAGAGACCTGTACTGAGCCACTCCTCATCTCCTGACACACACACAGTAGCAGCAGCAAAGGTTACATAGACATGTTTTGTCTTTCTCCTTCTTAAAAATGAGATTTATACATCTGGGTTTAACTCAGATAAAAAGTTGACATACTGTATTTGTACACAACAACAACCAGCTCTCACCTCCTGTGTTGGCATTAATCCTGATCCTTGCATTATACACAACAGGCAACCGTGGGTTATTCTTGATGAGGTGGGGCAAGAGAGCATCAGGATTTGGGTGAACCTTATATATTTGTGGACCCACATTGAGCAGTAGATGGTCTCTGGGACTAGTCACAGGGTTGCTTTCACACACCTTGAAAGAAACAGTGAATATTTTAAAAGATGTTGCTCTAACCCATTTGATCGCTTGCTAGCTGTGATAGGATAACCATATACCACAACTATGATCTACAATATAATGCTTTGTTGCAGCTCAGTGACACAGAAACAGCAGTCCAAAGATACTCACCTGTGGCATGCCACACTTCATTAAGATGTCAGTGAGTGTGGACACAATCTGCTGATAGGAGGAGCAGTCGTGAGCCTTCATGTTCAAGAAGTTGGAGCAGTCGCTGCCTAGTTTTTTAAGATATTCTTCCTCATTCTCTGTAAGTTCTTCACCATCGGTTACATGGCCAGCAAAGCGATTTAGAAGATGACGGAAGTGGTAGGTATCTTTGATGGCCTGGCTGGGGTCAGGGGCCTTGTATATTCCTCCTCCAATTGTTGCCCCCAACAAGCCCAAACCCATTTTGTTCAGGATTTTGTTCCCTTAAAAAAATGTAGTAAAAGTACCATCATTTAACTGACTTCACCACTGTTGAACCTATTCATATGGACTGGACTGATATGGGTGAATTATAGGAACACTGATGCCAATATTTGTTTGTGTTATTATTTGTCTCAACTTAAAACCTGTTTCCATAGTTTCTCTGTTCAACTTTGTAAAATTGGAGTGTGGCACCAGTAACACCTTTGGCATGCATCATGTTACATTTCCATGAAATGAGCAGGTGATGCATTATCATACCTGAGAAATCAGTCAATGGATTTTGACCCCTGTGTGTCTGTGCCCAGTACCAGGCATGGCCCCCAACCAGCAGGCCTCCTCCCTCTACCACAAAGTCTTGGATTTCTTTCACAAGATCATTTTTGTATGCGGTACACACAAACACACTCAGGCCTTCTCTTAGGTTTGTCTTCTCACACTGTAACCCAGACTTTCTGAGAATGTTAAGGGCATGATCAGGCTCAACACCAATCACCCCCTGTCGGCCTTCATCCAACCAGTGTAAAGCATTGTTCCAAAATGGAGCCAGTGCCTGTGATAAAGGCAGTTATTGCAGGAAAAGAAGTAGTTCATTAAGCATGTAAAACAACTGGCAGATCAGTATCCATATCATTATTTAACATACTCTGGACAGCAAACTGCTGATGGACAGAAATTAATATACAACAAAATAAATGTTTAAATCTAGAGTAATGTAAACATTTTTACAATGTTCTGAACATGACTTACTGAAGGCAGAAATTCTAAGACCAATCTTTAATGTAGACTCTACCTCTTGTCCCAGAAGCCCTTCATGTGAAACCACAATGACTCGTCCTTGGCCATAGTAGGCTCCTGCCAGGAATGC